CAATATTTACGCAGTGTTTGCGTGTGGTTGTTCAGGTTTCCTACAATATTTTGCACTTATATCGTGCATGATTACGGACAGCGAGTTTGCTAATGATTTTAAAAATGTAGTAGAGACTAGAGAGTAAGCTATGAAAAAGTAATTAGCTTCAGATCACAATTAACATTCCGACTTTGAAAGATAAGCCGAGCAATATGTTTTAATTTTACTGTTGCTATACGAACTTACATCTGTTTAATCGTTTTGACAAACAACTAAAATCACGTACTGTACTGAGCATTTCTTTCTTTCTTTACACGCAACGAATTCTATGAATACTACTTTACTCGCAGCGAACGTATTGCCAAATTCAATTTATTTTTCCCTTGCTAAATTGTCATGTGCGAACGCAATTGTCACGCTAAGTGCGCGACCATTTCGCCTGGAGGGATAGCACACGGCCACGAGCCTTCTAGTGAGTACGCAGCGAGAGTTGTGTGCGGCGCCGACACCCACGCCCGTGTTCCTCCGCTTCTCGTTTCGCCGCTGAGAATTACCTGGCCAGCCTTTCGCGTGCGAAGCGGGGATAGGCAGCACGCTGTGCGGCGCTGCGGGGCGGGGTACGGCGGGGAAGGCTGAGGAGGAGAGGGAGGGGAGGGCGGGGAGGTTATTCGCTGCGTGCGGCGCGGTGGGAAGCGCGGCCTGCGGTCTCCGCAGCTTTTATTAAAACAGACTAACTAAGGACATCTTTCAGTTATTAACGCATTTATGGGACCATTCGAAAAAACACAATCCAACTTTCTGTAAGTTTGACTCCTATTAAACATTCTCTTTAAAATTTCTTCTCCGAAGGCGCTCGGCGCGCGAGCCCGTCAGGTGCGACCGAGTGGGAGGAGGCTCCGCCCCAGGTTTACTCTGCCCCTTCACTCACTGTATACACACTATGACACGGATGCGCGCCAGTCCAATCTCTGGGCACAGCACAGCATAGGGAAACACAATCGTTCGTGAAAAGAAATAGCGATATGTAAACAAATTTAATCACATCATGTGACGTAAATATTCATTTAACAGCATAATTGCTTTTACATATCTAGAAAGAGGATATCACAAGGTAAGTAAGCATTCCCTCAGTTTCTATCAATTCGCTCCCATCGGCAAATGTGCAAACTGGACAAGTAACATCGCCTTATATGCATTAATTAGCCATAGAGCTTGTTTACAACTTTACACGCGCGCATAATTAGAAATAATAAGCTGCGACAGGCGCCGGCAGGCGCGCCATTTCCGGAGCGAGATGTGAGCCGCGGGCAGGGGTGGCGTGCGTTCGACCGGCACCCGGGGGGGACCGTTTCGCGGGAGCCAGGTCAAGCGATCCGGGCCAACGAGGCTGCGATCGTGTCCGTCCAGTTCTTGCTGCTTTAAATTATGGCTCAACAATCAATATTATCAACGAGGTATCCGACAGGCCATGCGCGCACCGGGGACGAACTCAAATTATTATCCGACGCACCGTAAAATAGAGCGTGGGCGGATATCGAGCCCCCAACCCCCGCCGCTCGTTCACCCCTCCCCTCGGCGCTGCTCGGCTCTCCCCCGATATCGAACCCACATCGACGGAGCGGGAGCCGGACACTCGAGCATTTGTTTGTGTGAGGTGGGCGGTCATCCACAATCCGCGGTGGATGTTACGGGAACAGTGCGCAAGGTACTTTACAAAGCACCAGAAAAACTTTGCTGTTCGCTGCTCGCTCAAGGAAACAGTTTACCGTGGCCGCGGTAATTTCGTCGTGTCTTAAAAGCGGGGAAATCGGGTGTCTAGAGTCGTAGCGATCGCGCACGTCTCTCGACAAGCGTCGACAACGGCGATAACAATCGTCCACCCCATGCAAGTATTTTTTTTATAATATTATATCTTTATTAGTGAACGAATATACATAATTCAGTATTATTTATATGCAAGTACTGTTGGTGTCTACTCGTATCGTACGAGATTCCCTACTTCTTTACACGAAACGTATCTTTTTAAACACACTAAGATATTTATTAGAATATTGGCGAACCGAATTCTCGAAAATGTGCATTGAATAAGATGACGATTTTCATATTTTAATGTACCTGTAATATTAAAATATATGACAAAAATAATAATCCAGCAAAATTACTCTAGCAAATCTTTATAATTGATCAAAAACATTGAGATAAAATTAAAATCTTCAGGCCTATAAGATAAATAAAAGACGTCACAAATATGCACACATCGAACACTGATACGTGAAAGGATAGAAATTAAATATTAATTGATGCAATAATACTCTCCATATAACATGCAATAAAAAAATAATTTTCCTCGTCTCAAATTTGAATAAATTATCAAGCGAAAGGAACTTCAAACGTTCTCTTCAAACGTTTGAATTAAACCAAGACGGAAAATTAACTGTTCTGCATGTAAAAGAAGTTGAAAATATTTAAAAATTTACCATCCAAAATTTATCGTAATCGACAGAAATTTGTATACTCTGAACTCGAATACGTTTCACAAGAATATCCATGTTTACTTCTCAATAAATAAAGTTTTACAGCTTATGGACACTGAAATTCTGCGTGTAAAATGAGAAAAACCACTGTAGTGAACACAGCAGGATTTGTATTCCGTGACACATATACTTTTCATCCATTGATCGTATTCAGCGGCATCCAAGAAACTGGGGCCATTTGCTCCACGCTCCAGCACAAGTGGAGACTCACAACAAATGTCTAGTAACAATATTTTATCATATGATTTTCTCTTTGAAAATAATTTTAATATATAAAGAAAATTATATATATTCATTAACAGGGACTAATATCAAAGATTTTCAAAAAAACAAGGGAAAGAGGATTAAGATAAAAATTATCCTCGATGAAAACTCGAAAAGTTCGCAAGCAGCATTGCTGAATTGAATATTTGAAGCAAACTAATAATGAGGATTATAAAATGCAGCAAATTGATTCTGAACAAACGCGGACTTACTTGTTTGCTCTGTATTAGCATTAAATGATAAATAGTAAACAAGGAAAACTGTATTTCATCGTGGATTAATTCAAAAGTTACCTAAATTGATACTTAAATGATTTAAAGAATGAAATGTTAAATTTATTTGCACTAATTATATTGTTATTTAAAAGTAGAAGATTAAATCCTTTTTTTCAATATTTATTGGTAGTTATATTTATTAGTTTGTTTACATGTTTTTTTTTTTCCCCTTCCCTTTTCTAAAGCAAACTTAATGTAAGCTTCATGAATTCAGTAAATAGAGTTACTCACTACAAAATTTATCAATTACAAATTGTGATATTTTATGAAGAGTTTAAGCTATTTGCCAACCATTTAATGGAGGGATATCTACCATTACGTTGATTTCAACTATGTTTCAACATTGTCGTTGTTTTGAAGGACTAAAGGTATCTTGAAATTATTTGTCAAGTACGGCAGTTCTGTTGTTAAAAAATAGTGATATCTCATTTGAAACAAGTATGTTAATTATGAAAGACACTTTTCTAGCTCTGACGTTTAGTGAAAAGCTTTGGTGGTGATCACTTAGTGTTTACAGATGTTGTCATAGGAAACTTTTGTCAAAAAGATCTGTATTTTTCACTCACCAGTAAATACTGAACATAAAGTAAAAAGAACGTTAAGACGGATGAAACTTGTATTCGTGCAATTCCAAATTCAAATTTTAATTTTATAATGTCAGTTTATTTCACGTGATATTGTGAATTTACAATATTTAAGAGAAGTGCCTGAAATGGGATGGCACTACAAGAGCCGTATGTGTATCGACTACATGTAATTCAAGAACGAAATAATGAACAAGTATCATTTAAGACGTAGTATCGATTACATTATTGCCTTACAGCTTGGCAAATATCAAGAGATATTTTAATAAGTATTAAATTTTAGTCTCAATATTGCAAGACAATTGGAGCGTTCCTATACTCTTCATCCAGGATGTCTTCCCCTCGAAAATTAGAACCCTCGTGTTTTCCATACAAGGGGAGCCGTTTCACCGTCGGAAACTTCCCCTGTACTTCCTTGGCTCCACCTCAAACACAAAGTATGTCGCACGAGGGTGTGCACCCTGTCTATCCTGTCCCGGCTACACGTGATTTATTTAGCCCCTCTAAAGGGTGATCCGCCTAAAGGCCACGTCTGCGGGACCCTTCTGTAGACGCCGGCAAATCGGCCAACCACCACTGTCATCACTCGCATCCAATTAATATTGATGGTTATCAATGACAACATAATTGAAATGAACATCCTTCGTTTTTTCATTCGACATGAATGAGCTCACATTTTCTGACGATACAATCTTGACACGAGTAACCTACAGACCCCCAAAACTGCTCATTATTCTATCTCCAGAAAAGCGAAGGAATAAAATCAATTCCATTAGCATATTGACAATTTGCAAATGAAGGTTTCTGAATTCACGAGTAAACAAGGAAAATCATAGGTTGCAACAGCGTGGTTTTAGAACAGTAAAGATTCTCATTTAACAATTGAAAATTTAACTTCAAAAATATTACTGACTATTGTTATTTAGGGATTCGATATGACTAAATTTTACTGCGACAAGATCTAAAATGCGCTGAAAAATCGCTGCAATAATCCTGACTATTTCCAGCAACTTTTCAAAATAAGATATACGAGTTATTCACAACTTTATATAAATCTTCAAAACTCATAGATATACAATTAAATAAACTTACTTGCTTCTTTTAAAAAACAGACATTGGTCAAGCTACTGTATGACACGTGATTTACGCATTCTTTTAATCCTTCAAGGTTTGCACATCATGATAATACGACCTTTCATTGAAAAGAAAACATGAACATTCAGGCCTTCTCAACAGAGTATATGTCTTATTCCTCGAGATCAAGCTTTCGTCCACTCAATTTGATGCCGAGTTCGACCAGCGCATGGGGAAAGCGGGAACCGCGAGGTCGCGCGGCAGCGCCGACTTGGGCGCGTACTCACCGGAAGTTGGAGAACCACTTGACTAGCTGAGCGGTGTTGTTCTTGTTGAACTTTATGTCCGGAAAGTACATCTTGAGGACGGCCGAGCTGGGGTACCGAACCCAAAAGAACATGAGCTTGGCCTTCCGAAGGTGCATCGGTGTCAGTGTCGACGAGTAACTCTTATTAAGGAAAAATCGCTCTAGAAATAAGTACATACATAGCAAAAAACCATAACTACAAAATGAAGAGATCATGTAGAAAATGTAGAATGATGTAATAACATTAAAATAAAAAATAATTTAAGGCAGATACGTAAACTGGATTATAAAATGTTCGAAATGACTTGAATTATAAATGATTGAAAAAACTAGGATAATGATTAATCATATGCACTAAATATTATGAAGGAAATATTAAGTACATTAAATCAGTGAAACGTAACTAATACACAACAAACGGTAATCCATTAGTGAAACTAATACACGCAAAATTTTAATACTTTTTTTATGAATTGCTACATTCTTATCAATATTTATATTAAAGCTGTCGAGTGGAAAATTGTTTCATCTACCTACAGCAGTATAATTCAAGTAAATCATAAAGAAGCTTTAACAATGCAAGTAAACTACAATCATCAAGGAATTTTAATTCATTGGTGTGCATAAATGAATACAGAGAGGAAGGTTTCAGAAAGGAAAGAGGACAGTCTGTGATTGGTCGAATATACTGAACTGTCTCCTGTTGTACTACAACACTTGCGCAAGAGGTTTTGACAGGTTTAATGTGGTTCAGAGGACAGCTCAATAACTGCACCAGTAGGTCCATCTGTGCAGAGCTGCATATGGAGAAACCGCACAACTGATACTTGCACTCGTGCATATACGAGTGGACGAGAAGTCCAGAGAGGATGTCACGCACAGGCGAATCGACGTACTCCGACAAACTGAGAAAGGGAGAGGGAGAGACAGAGACAGAGACAAACACATAAACACACCCACCCACACGCGCACCTCGCAGTCACACACGAGCAATTGACGGCGGACGCGCACACACACAAGCAACATGCATACAGTTGCGAGTGGGAACGAAGTGCCCTCTGTGGTGGCCGTAAACATGTGTTCCAGACACAAACAGAGGCCCCAGCCGGCAAATGAGTCGAGCTTCGGGACGGGAAAGGATACACCAGTGGGGAAGATGAAATTCAGGGCAATAAAAGTAATTAGACAAAAGAATAGATTCAAGGTCTACAAAGAAATTGAACAAGAGGAAAAGGGAAGATGAGAGAAAAAGTCACAGAATAAAACAAAAGGTGAAGTTACTTATACAAGAAACTGAAACAATTGACATTCAAAGAAAAATCGAGAAGCACACGAGAAAAGAAAATGGAGAACAATTAAAGACGAAACAAGAGGGGAAAAATACCCGGCGGAGATCAACCCTGGATATGAAAAAGATCAGCAATATTTTTTTTTTATTTTTGTTAAAATGAAAACACGACAAGAGTGTCGGGATGAACGGGCGAAGCCGCTAGAGGAAACGAAGTTAACGATCATATAGAAACTCGAAAACAAGAGGCTGGAGACAACGGCGGGCAGCAGGTGGCTGGAAGGAGTGACACGTCATGACTAGTCCGCGCAGCTTCCGTCGTCTCACGCGCCTACGCTTCCGAGAACGTTCGAATTGGCTGCTTGGCGCCGAGCGGCAGCGCTTACGAATTCGGCGAAGCGCGCGCGGGGCCTCGCCGCGGCCGCCGCCGCCGCCGCCGCCGCCGGTGACGAACGACGAGGGCGAGCGGCGACCGGCGGCGCGGGAAAGAATCATGAGCGCGTTGCGGCAGCTTCCCTATTCTGTTTACGCTGAGAGCCTAATGACGGCAGCTCGGGCGCCTGCCGTGCGCGATTGCCGCGGATCATGCAATCAGATGCGTGTTCCCTATCTTTTATCAACTTAGTGAAAAGTCAGGAATATTAAAACAAAAATTACGCCAAACTTTGTGCAAACGTATATTAATGAGTCGAAATTTCTTAGACTATAGAAATTAGTTCGAATTAAAATAAGGGAGGCAGGCGTGCAATTGTCATGCTTGAGGCCCGTTACGGCGGCGGCGCACGAGGCCACGGCAAGCGGGAGACGGGGTGAGGCGGGCGGGCCGGAGCGAGGGGGCGTCCGCGAGGGGAGCGGTCAACCTCGTGGGGTTAAGTGGCAGACTACGATCATTTTCCACCGAATCGGGCGGGCAGGGCGCTGCCGACGGGCTGCGTATCGCGGGGTGGCTCCGGTGTCTGTCTGCGGCCTCGCCTAAGGTTTCCTTCGCCGCGGACGCGCTAAGGTTTCGCGTCGCCAAACAAAAGCTCTCGAAGATCCTCCCCCTACGCCCCGCCCAAATGCGATTTGCTGCTAGGAGTGCGGGTCGAGGCAGTCTTACAACTTCGCGACAGCCGCGTCCGCAGCTTAGGAGACGTTAAATCCAGCGGGCGCCCCGCCCTCGCGGCGCCGCCCCTTCACGAAAGGAGGCCCCGAAGCCCGCGTGCGGACGCCTCTGCATTAATCAGTATTGTAAAACACGGCCGATATATTATGTGGCACGCATGACGAAGTCGTCTCGAAAAAAGAGGGCAGTCTCAATTTCTTTTGTGGATTGGAAATGAATTATTGTGCCTTAGGGACACGACAGCCTGTCCGGTATGGATTTTAAAACGCATGCTTATGGGCAGCTGTGAATAATAGAGCGTGGATAGCGTGGGAGGAGACGGCGAAGGTGGCGTGGGCGACGGGGAACGCCGCCAAGACGTGTCCATCCGGCGCAGCGCTCCGCGTTCTCACGCTAGCAATTGAGCGCAGTTACAAGAGAACTCGGCTGAATAAGAAACGACCAAATAACAAGAGCAAGGCCGTAAAGACGGACTACGTGATGACGGCGTCCATCAATTCGTAATTTCCTCCTTTCAGAAGTTTAGTCCTCTGTCTGTAATCTCCGTTTGTGCATTTGATATGACATCTTTTTTCCTCGGCGCCGGCGGCCGCGGTTCAGCCGACGGTGAGGCGGCGGCGTGGGTCAGCGATAAGCCGGCCCGCCTTCGACGAATACAAAGTTTGACTTAGACGAGTCGTCGTGGGGCGGGGCGGGGCAGGGCCGGTAGCTGGGGGGGCTGAGAGTCGGGAAGTAAACAAGCGAACACGGCCCGGCAGAGCTCATTAGAAATGTTTATCGAACGGTCGGAAAGAAAACGCCTCTGCCTTTGTCGCCTCCGCTTCGAGTGTAAAACCGGCTGTGCATACTGCCAGAGGAGGAGGGCAGCGGCGCGTGTCTACGGTGCGTTGCTCGCGGCCGGCTTCCTGCTTAATTTAAGACGCGTATGAACATTCCAATGCGCGAAAGAGCGTGAACTTTAGCGCGGCGCTGACGACGGGGAGAAGGAGCGGGCGCAACCGGCGCCGCGTGACCGGGCATAGGACGGGCGGCGGCGGTGGGGGCGGATGGGGGGGGGAGGCGTGGCCCGACGGCAAGGCATGCCGCACGCGGACCGCCGCCTCCGGACGGCCCCCGCCACCCCCGCCGCCGCCGGCCATCGATTTCGCGCACACGCACGCTCGGCGCGCGCCGCGTGTTGCGGCCAAGACACGCCGGCGGGAGGCGCCGGCGTCGAGACCCGGCGCCAGGGGGCTGCCACGCCGCGCAAGGGCGCGCCCCGCGCCCCCACCCACGCGCCCGCCTACTGCCGCCGCGCGCCTAACGTCGCCGCCCCGCGCCACCGCCAGCCGCCCCGCCACCTGCGCGGCCGAGCCGCGGCAGAGCCCAGAGGGAAGCCCGCTAGGCCAGAAGCGAGCGAGGGCGTTGTCCACGGACAATATCAACGAGAGAAATGAGGAAATAAACAAATGCCATGACGAATCATTTCCCGCGAGAATATCGTTGAAAAGCTTTACCAATACTGATGAAGCCAGCAGAGTTACTTAATGCTTTTCACGAAATGATTAAGAAAGAAAAAAAGTAAAACGAAGATGCAGAACGATTACTAATGAATCCTTTTAAAAAAATAAGAACTACAGAAAACTTTAGTTTAAACAGACTTGATGTACAGAAGGAATTGCAAAAACCACATGCGATGAAAGGACCTCAACAAGAACTGTTCATTCAAAACAACAGAAAAAGAAACAACGGCAAATCGTTGATAATTCATTTGACGATGTTTTATAAGAATAAACTTAATTTACCGCTTATCAAATTTGATACGAAACAAATAAATCTAATACTTGGCCCACGTTACAATATTAAAACTTTAATGCCAAATATTATGTTATGTCAGTAACACAATGAAAGATAATTATAGATAAATATTCTGGCAGGGCTCCGACGTGTTAGTTAAACATAAATACGCATAAATGACAACCTTGTATACTAAACAATTATTTAGGTGTATTAATAAAAAGGACACGTGCATCCACGGGGAACTCATAGTTTTTAATACAATAACCGAAATATTCGAGTGACCCAGACCTGATGTTAAAATCGCCAGCATAAACAATACATTATTTTTGTCAACACTATTCCTTACTCTCCCTCGGACATAACCAGTTAATGGGTGTGTATATCT